TGAACGGGAGGAACAGCTTGCGAGGGCTGAGGACTTGATATGGCGGTTAAGAGTGAGGTGATAGTTGAGTGTAATGTAGACAGAGGAAGTATGTGGGACGATGGGATTCAGTAAAGGGAAGGGGAATGAGCACGGGGTGGAAGGGACCTGGTGTTGGGAATCAACAAACAGTTCCCCTGGTAGCAGGTCCGGTGGCTCTTCCGTAAGAGCAGCCCTGAGTCTGTAGATGCTGACCAGGTCCTACTTGTAAGCGCGCGAAGTATGCGACAGGTCTTCTCATTGCGTCGGAGGATACGGATCGATCCTTGATAAGGTGATTCCAGGGGCTTGTGCTACCGGTCACATCGCCAAGCCCTTCTCGACATAAGATTTGTTTGATGGAGGAGGATGCGGGAGCAGGGCAAGAGAATGCATACATTGGCGGACACGATGCACAAATTATTATGAAATAACTCGAGACTACCAGAAGTGGGACTGACCAGCTCGCCGAGAAGTCGGAGGGTTGTGTCACACCCCAGCTCGGTCGCGCTGCCATCCGGACTCGACTTCACTGCCGGGCAAATTCCGAGGACAAATATAGGCAGGTTGTCCAACCAGTTGCCTGCGTCGTCTATAGAACGCAGGGCAGATTTGAGGTGACGGTGAAGTCGCCCAATCATGCCATTGGCGGCTGGGTGGTAGGCGTTTGTTCGGCAGCCAGTGCAACCAAGAGGTCAGACGCCAACTGGGCCCATCCATCAGTCGAAACCGTAGATGGCGTACCAAAAAATGCGACACAGCGACTGAAAAAGCCGTTTTTGAAAGTGTCTGCCTGTGCGTTTGTCAACTGGAGGGCTTTTGACCAGCTGGTATAGCAGTCGACGCTTGTCAAAAGATGTGCAAAATCATTGGCTGAAGGCAAAGGGCCAACGCCCTCAAGATGGAAATGACTGAAACGTCCGTCGGTTCTTGAAAAAGTGCCGGATGGAGACCTAGTGGGGCAGAACCGGGCCCAAGTTTTGACGTCATTGCCCATGCCAGGCCAGGCAAACATTTCCCGAGGGAGCTTTTGAGAAGCTCAGAGTCCAGCATAGGAAAGTTCTTAAAGAGTGTGAAACACAGCTCGATATCCCCAAGGGGAGGGGACATACACGGATGATGAAAAGGAGTCGGTACGTTACAGAGGACAGTGTCAGCGCCGGTGGTGGGAGGAACCTCCGCCTCGTTTTCTTTTCGGCGACTCAGCGCTAAAATTCACCCACTGTGAAATTTGAAACGCACAGAGCGAGGGTTTAAACAGTAGGCCAGCCCCTCTTCCCTCGAGCTCTCAATGTGACGGATGCCTTTCTTGAACTGGGAGATGTATTCCGTATATCTATTTTCTCATAAGTTATATTTTCCGGGTAGAATCACAGAGCAAATATCAGCGGTGTAGGTCCCATGACCATAATAAAATCCCCCCCTTCGAAGGTGCTACATGTGGTTTTAGTCGGCGAGAATTTCTCATTAAAGATGGCTTAAATCTGGATTGAATAGACCAGGTTTTGCCGCAAGATTGCACCATCGGTACATTCGAAGCATCACAAGCAGGGTGTGTGGATAGGGTAGCGTTTGCAAGGAGGACCTGATTTTCTAAAAAAAAGTGGTCAACTCCCTGCGGCGAAAGTCAAGGGTGCCCTTAGAACCGGAAGGTAGGTTGGGGAGGGAAAGCGTAAGGTCAGCACAGTTTAGGAGCACCCGAAGATAGAAGTTCACCATGCAGATAAAACGCTGTACCTGACGATTCGAAGTTGGTGGAGGAAAATCGCGAATGGCCACAACCTTGGATGGGAGGGGACGCAAACCTTCGGAGCTGGCTAAGTGGCC